CCCCCCCCCCCCCCCCCCCCCCGCCTCCCATCACAGGCGTCCTTTTCACCGGCGGTGCCCCTGTTCCAAGGGTTTTCTCGGCGATAAGCTTTATGGGGGCGGTCGTGAATTGTACTCCGGCAAGGACGCTCCGCAGCATATGGGGGGGTATTTGCTCCAGAAGGGGGTTCGCCCTCCTCCTGTGTCCTGGCAGACCATAGCTTCTAGAGTGTGGTACCCGTTTCCAATAGCCATCGGCTACCTCCGTCCAATGTGTTTTTTTGTGTTGTTGGCCTTTGTCGGCAAATATGCCAGAAGAGAAAAGCCGCTCCCTCCAAAAACACGCCTTTGTTCAGGCCTCTGTCGAGTACAGGAGAGAACGAACTCTGGCCTTTGGCTTGCCAGGACGCATGTAAGGCCGGCATTTTTTAAGTCCGACGTTTTCCTAGGCGAAGGGCCACTGTCGAAACAAAGCGATCGGTGCCTCGACCAGTGAGATGAGGCATCTCGACAACGACTGCTCTCGGTCGACTCTCCCGCGCGCTTCCGAGCGATCAGACGTGGTTAAGGCGTGCCTTTTAGCCCAGTGGGAACAGTCGTGAGCAATATCAATATTTACAAGCAATTCATGAGGGGTTCCGGTGAGATCCACGGTGGTCTGCCGTGCGCGGGGTCTGCCTCTTGTTCTGGGTGTTTGGAGCTTTCGAACGAGTATCACGCAGAGTGCCGAGGATCACCGGCCGGGTAGCATGCGTCGGATAGGTTGTGTACCGGTCACACCTTGCTTCTCTTCCTCTCTTGCGATGTCCTGCCGGAATTATTTCTTCTTTGGGTCGAGCCATGTATATGATCTTGGCGGGTGTTGGTAGCGCCCGATAGCGTGTACGTATTGCATGAGGCTGCCAGTGTAGTGCGTGCAGAGATGCCGCTCATTTGTCGAAGAAGAGAACACTGTTCTAAATGGGGCACACTTGCTATCCGTGGACGTCATGAAGAGAATATTTTACAGTCATGGCGAGCATGTTGCCGTCCGTTTTTGGTGTTTCGGTGAAGAAGGCTGTTCCTGTGACACACGAATGTCTTCTCAATCCCGATCTCATTTTTGCACAACATCGCGTGTCCTATCTACATACTGCATTGTGATTTTTCCTCGGTCTTCCCTTTGGTGCGTCGATGCTAGTCCTCATAATAAGCGATCCACGCGCGTGTGTATGAATCGAACGAGAAGGTTGTGGCAAATTGTTTGGAGGAAGGAACCCGCCATTCTACGCTCATGTGTGCACGATGGGCGTCGTCCCCTGCTGCTTGGGGGAAGTGAGCGGAGACGGGTACAGCTAAGTAGCCAATGGGCGCGGGAGCATACAGGCGCGCCGTCAGCGGCGGCGGCGCCTGGAAATTTACGTACCAGTAGTCTGGAAGCGCAGCAGGGCATGAAAAAGTACTTGGGTTCGAAATGTTGCTATTTAGCACGAACTGGTTGTTCGCCATGGCTGCTACTATGTTGTCCTATTTCATTATGATTTTGTGGAAAAGGATGGGGCTTCGCGCCGGCCTGTCTGCCTACTGCTTCCTGTCGACTGCGGTTGCAGCTTGTAGACCTCGCTGATGATGAGTAGTGATACTACTGCTGCCCACTTCGGATTGTGCCATAAGTACTCATTCCCCCGGCTACCCCTGAGGACCATGCAACGCCGATGAGGGCCACATTCGTCCATGATTCGGAGGGCGCGTAGGAGTGAGCACGAGATTGTTGGTCTGCAGTACGAACCGAGATACAGCAACTAGAGCGAGAGAGACAAAAATACATCGCTAGGGGTGGTCTGACGCGAGGAGGGTCGTTTGCTGTCTGCGTATGATACATGTATTACCGTTGGGGTATTATTCTTTGTTTGTTCTCCTGGCGTCAGTTTTACACCTTTCGGCATACGCTTGGACGCCCCAGATGGGGTCAATCACTCTTCGCGGACACATTACACAAAATTGGTTGTTGTTTGTCTTTTCCTTGTGCTCACACTTGTGTCTCGTAAACACCATGGTCTCTGAAGTCGGATAGGCTGGCAAGAAATGGTCGTTGTTCTGCCTTCTGTAGGACGAGTATACGGTACACAATATTGTGATCGCCAGAGACTTGACACCGCAGCGCGATAGAAAATGACCAATAAATTGTACCGTAGTCTCTTGTCCTGAGCAGCACAACGAGTCGCCTAAGTAAGGCCGAATCACGGTATAGTCCACGCTTGTTGCACGCTATAGAAAGTGGGTGTGTGCGTGTGGGAGCTGTGTGCATAAAAATGGAGAGAAAACGCAACTCATTCATTCCCGTGCGACTAGAGCAGCATGTCCCCGATCTGTTCCATGCAGCCATAGCTACAAGATTGTGGGTTTGTGTGAACGAGGTTCACTGCCTTGCTTGATGAGGGATTGGCCGTGGTGGCAGTCCGATCGTGAAATCGTTCATTGAAATGGGCAACGTGTTCGCATCACAGCAGTATACTGCTATGTATGGAGGAAATGGTTAGGCACCGTACCAGGGTAGACAGGCGTTTCTAAGAGTGCTCTCGGAAACGTGCGATTAGAGGGTAAATCGCGAAGGACACGGAATGTGACGTCCGCCTTACGCGCGTGCATGATGCGCAACTCTTCTTGAATCAGGCGGCTCTCCCACTGCACTCACTGAAAAAATAAAAGTGTCGTGAAACGCCAAAGACTTTGTGTACACGAGAAGCACGCACGCAGCTGTTGCACGGCTTGTTTTCAACGGCCCACATACATGTTTTGGCAGCGGAGGCCCGGGAAGCACCTCGTGTGCGCAACCTACGGAGTTCCCGATACATGTCGCATGTCGCAAATGACGACAGTGGGGTCGAGTCGGCGGCAAGACTGCTATTGTACATACCAAAAGTAGGCTTGGAAACGAGAACGGGTGCGCGAGGGAGAAACAGGTTAGAGAACTGGAGAGGTCCCTGTAGACTATGGATGTTATAATGGTGTGCTGAAGAGGAACGCGCGCGTGGTTGTGAGATCATGAACATATAGACTATATGAGCAATGTGCGCAGGGGAACTCGCAGTAGTACTACCATTTGTACAGCAGCAGTGATGTCTCTGATGTGGGGAAGATGCGTCCTTTCTTCCAGATCCAATCTACTGCCTAGTCTATTGTTGCAAAATGCTGTAGATCCAAACGGAAAATACCAAAATACCACGGGAGGGTACATCAGCACCCTCAACATGTATGTGATCAACCAGGGGTCCCGCTTGCGCGATGGAGAGCAGAGATAACGCACACTGGAGCCGAAGCTAACGTACTACCTTGGTGACTGAATGTGGTCGTTACTACAGCGTGTGTGGTTCAGAATATTGGGAGTGAAAAGAGGTTTGTGTGCTATGTGCAATTTCGCTCAAGGGACAAATGGGTTTTGGGGACTACAACTAGTTAGGGCCGTTTTAAACGGACCGACTTTTTTGTCAAAATTTTCGACATTTATTTGTCTTTCAAAAACTTGGAACCTGTGTGCAGTCATTTTAAACGTGTGACGTAGACTTGTGCAACTTGTGTCAAAAAAAATGACGCCGTCCGTGAGTTGTAGCGCTCACTTCGAGACAACACAGACGACACAACACAAACCGCGGAAAACACGACATCATGGACACCGACATGGATATCACGACCACCCAGCGTGGCCGGCAGACCAAAACCCCGGCGAAATTCCAGCAGACGGGCTCTCTCGGTGCCGCCGTAGGCGGTAGAGGCTTGCTCTCCAAGCAAGATAGTGCTGCTGCCTGGCATCTCGGGGAACACGCATGTTACCGCGGGAGGCGCTGCCGCCACCAACACTCCGCCGGCGAGGGGTGGCAACCACTGCTCCTACCCCCCCGGGAAGAGGAAAAAACAAAGCGGCGGACGCGAAGCAACAACTGCAAGCCATCATGGCGGACCGCCGTTTTTTTTTTTTGTATTGCGCGTGCCCGTGGGCAAGGAGAGCCGCTCGAATCTGTAGGCGCGCCGCGCTTTCTATTGTCGGCCATGACTCACACACAACCCGAGCTGACTTTCTACGGTGAGGGGCACTCGTGGTGCAGACGCAGCAGCCCTCGCGTGCCTCTGCAAGGGTACTTTGGAAAGTGCTCCAAATACTTTGAGAGGGTTGTCAAAAAGTTGGAACGAAGTGGAGCAAAGTTTTCGCGCCCAACTTCGTTCCAAATATTTTAAAAAAATATGGACAAACGCCTACATACAGGTTCCATTTTTTTGACACTTTCAAAATTTTTGACAAAAAGTCGGTCAGTTTAAAACGGCCCTTAGTCTAGACCACATGGATACATGGACGATTTTTTCCCGTGCTTTTTATCCATATTTCGCGATAGTGATACCGTGGGGTCGATTTGCGGAGTGAGCCGGAAAAAAAAAGTGAAATCAGCCCAGCACTTTGTAGCACTCTGGTAACACCAGGCGTCATGTAATGTGTATTCATCCAAATACATGCGCCCCTATCTCTCATTCTGTCAGTCAGATTCGACATCGACAAACACTTGCTCTCCCGCACGAGCGGCTTGGACAGATGCAGCTTTAGCCTTCCCAACAGACTGCGCTGCACACAGCTTCCCCAGCTCCATGTCCAACTTCATTATCTCGGGAATAAAATGGGGGCTAGACCTGGGCAACATCATCATCTCGACACGGTCGGGCAGCATCGACTGCCGAAGATTGTTGTTCACGAATCCCAGCCCCGAAAACTCCTCTCTGATTGGCAACAATAATAGTGCTGTCAGTGCAAAGGTACACGCGAGCAAGCATGGACAAGATGGGGAATTGCGCAGCAGAAACAACTTTTCCGTGGGGGTCAAGACGCGGGATCCGGCATCCCGCCAGAAACCGAGGACGTCAAAGTGATTGTGTGTGGAGCGGACTGTTATTGTGTGTGTTGACACGGTTCTGTTGATACTTGTGTGGCTGCTGTGGAAGTAGAACAGAGACAAAAAAAAATGCCGTGACTCCGTGGGAAAAAACCGTGACTCCATGGGAAAACCGTGACTGTATATTGCGTATTTTTCCGTGTGTGCGATGGATTAGCTCAAACCGCTCCGTGAAAAAACCGCTGGTACGGATTTTTGGAAAATCCCACGGAGCGGAGCTGAGCGTTTTTCCGAGGAGAGCAAAATTTTCACGGAGCGGAGCGGTTTAATCCGCTCCGCTCCGTGAAAAAAAAAACGCTCCGTGCACAGCCCTGTTTATTTTTGGTCTGTCAAGGTTGTGGGTGCATGGTGTTAGGGAGGACCCGATTCGCAGGGTATCCGTCGATTGGCTTTTACCTGAATCGGATATTTGCACCCTGTGGTTGCGTATGATTTTTTGGGATGTTCCCACAAGGTTGTCATGGGTCGAAGGCGGGTAGGTAGATAGAGCAGCGGTCCTTTGTATGTGTTTGGTGTTTTGTTGTTGTGTTGTTTGTGCGATATTTCGGGGTTGTTCACGAAGTGTTCTTTCCCAACAATCCGTACAACCTGACAACAGAATTGTAGTTGCTGTTTGTTGTGTAGTTGGCAGTGGTGGCGCAGTTTGGGTAGATACAACACAGAGTGATCATTAGATC